GGAAAAGAAACAATTCATTTAGGTCACTAAGCGGTTTTTTTCCTTTTTCTTTCAGAGAATAACACATCATTTTTTGCTGTCTTTTTTTATATAGCTTTTTTTATATAGCTGAGTTTTCTTCAGGCTGCCTTTTGTGTGTTCCACAAATTCTTATTTAAAATGGCTGGGCAAGTGTTTATTTTCATTTATTTTTATCTCACAGATGGTACTTTGGCAAAATGGGTCGTAAAGATGCTGAGCGACTGCTACTGGTTCCCGGAAACCAGCGGGGCACTTTTTTGGTCCGAGAAAGTGAGACCACTAAAGGTAAGTGAATCGCTGTTCTTCTGAAGAAGTCCGTCTTACAGCGCTGGTGCTCAAAAACAAACCAGAGCAGAAATATTTTTCATCCATTCCCTCTTCTCCTCCTGGCGCAGGGGCTTACTCTCTCTCAATACGGGACTGGGATGAGATGAAGGGAGACAACGTGAAACACTACAAAATCCGAAAGCTTGACAGCGGAGGCTATTACATCACCACAAGAGCTCAGTTTGACACTCTACAGAAACTGGTGAAGCATTACACAGGTTAGCACATTCAGTTCAAACAATATTGTTTCTTGCATCTCCTTTCAGTTCAAATGGACAGAAGCCCTGAATACCAGTCATGTGGAGATGGCAGGGTGGTGATTTGAAGCTTAGGGGTCTCACTGTGACTAGTGCTAACAGGTGCCTGACATCTGCTGTGAGAAACGTGTCCCTGTTCACTCAGACTGTCAGTTAATCTTGGCCTAGTTTCCACAGGAGAATGTCTGAGAGAGCTTTTGACATCAACACCTCTTTGATCTTATGAGACGTTATGTGAGTGTCCTGCCACAGCGCTGTTGTTGTAGCTGACGTCAGTCCCCACAAAGAAAAACCATTAGATTCTCCTAATTGTGTTTTTTGTCAAGCCGTCAACTCAATGTTATGGTTAAACTCTCAAAGCAGGATTACTTGACGTAAACTACATGGCTTTTACTTAAACTGGGTTTGGCTTTTTCAGCTACACTCATTGCTAGCAGGTCCATAAAATCAGTCATACAGCCATACAATCTCCTTAGACAAACATTTACAGTAGAACAAGGTGTACCTATTCTGTTCCTGCCTAACAAAGCACCATGTACAAAGAGAGGTCCATATAGAAATGGTTTACCGGGTTAAGTGTGGAAGAGCTTAACTGGCCTCCACAAAGCCCAGCACTGTTTTTGTTGTTTTAAAAATACACTTGATTTTAAAAACACATTCTGCTCTTAAATTCTGTTGCACTCCATCTGGTTGTTTCTGAACATAAAAAAACATGTTCTTTGTTGTGAACACTCCTAAGAAAAGCATGTAAATGACTGATAGTCAACTAAAGGATTTTTAAAACATTTAGCTCTTTCTTCCAAAGCTTTGGGGCCAGTAAAAATATAAATAAATAAATATATATGTGTGTGTATGTTTTTTTGTTTGTTTGAAAAAAAAAAAATCTCTTATGCTCACCAAGCCTGCATTTATTTGATCAAAAATACAGTAAAACAGCAATATTATGATCATTTATATATTATTACAATTTAAAATAATTTTAATACATTTTAAAGTGTAATTTGGCAAATGCTGATATTTCAGCAGTCATTACTCCAGTCTTCAGGGTCACATGATCTTTCAGGAATCATATGTTGATTTGGTGCTAAAGAACCATTTATTATTTTTAGCAATATTGAAAACAGTTTTGTATTTTTGTTGATACCATGGTACGTTTTTTTTTTCCAGGATTCTTTGGTGAATAGAGAGTTTAAAAAACAGCATTTATTTGTGATAGATGTCTTTTGTTACATTAGAAATGTCTTTACTCTCATTTTTGAACAATTTAATGCATTCTTGCTGAATAAAATATGAATTTCTATTTCTAAATTCTAATTAAATGAATAAATCTTACTGAACAGTAGTGTAAATCCCAATTTTAATTAGATTAAATCCCATTGCAAAGTTGGTAAAACATCTTGCAAAAATCATGTCTATAATTTTGAAATTAAATGTTTAAATTCCCACTGATTGGTGGATTTAATTGTTTTCTGTGAGGCATTTCATGCAACCTGTCACAGACCCGAGGGACAGTGAAAGTAACAAATTTGCTGTTCAGATTCATCTTATCTGAAGAATGTCAAGGCTTAATGAAAGGCCATCAGTCCTTGTCTGGCTCTCTCTGTGTGACCCGCTTCGTAAAGATTTTAATCGTTTGGTTGAAAGACAGTGATTAATGTGCTTTATGGTTGGATAAGTGATGAATTAATGACGTTTGCCCTCACCCAGGTCATTTTGTAGCCTTGTTCTTTTATGGTCCCCCTATTGTATGAAATTTGTGAAAATATCACACACCTTGTTAAATTAGAACTACATCTGTTCATTTTACTCTACTTTTCTACTTTTCTCACTCACTATACTATTCATTTTTTAAATGATATTTGTTTGAGTTACAGTTATTAACACAGGACATTATGTACTGATCTAGATGGGATTGAGATTCAGTTGTTTTTATTAAGGGAGTGTCTGTTGTCTGCATATGCGCGTTGCAGGTGTAATTTACCTGACATCCTCAGGGAAAACTAGTCCCATCCTCATAGCTTTTATGACCCTAATATTACTCTTATGTGTGTGTGTTTGTGTGTGTAGAGCATGCAGATGGGCTATGCTACCGACTGACCACAGTGTGTCCGACGGTGAAGCCCCAGACTCAGGGTCTGGCTAAAGATGCATGGGAAATCCCACGAGAGTCACTGCGTCTAGAGCTCAAGTTGGGTCAGGGCTGCTTCGGAGAGGTCTGGATGGGTAAGACAAATGCAAATACAATGCACTCAAACTCATTCCCCAAAGCACCTGGCACACTTTACCCCACAGCTAACATTTTGTCAAAAATGCTTTAGTTGATCATTTATGGCTGAATTAGAAAATACACAAATTACTAGATAACACATTTTACCCCACTTTCCTGTACTGTTAACTTCATTTATATCTGCTGTTTTCGCAAATGCACCACAGTACTTAAGTGTTTACGCACTAGAGAGAGATGTGAAAGTGGGTTATTAAGATGCTTTGTCTTTCATCACTGCTCTTAAAGCTTGTCACGCTGCAAGCTCCAGCATGCCACAGCACAGAAAACAATGTCGGGAATTTCACTTATTGTGTGTGTATGTTTGTTTCAACACGCATAATAGGTTCTACATAACTGATTTGTCATCTGCTGGCAATCTGTGTCAGTGCCGTTTAAATTTTTTTCACAAAACTGTCTGTCCTGGACTGGCAAAGTAACATTCTTGACCTGTTTTGTAAGATTTCTTAAAGGGATAAGTTACCTAAAAATGGTAATATAATAACTAAATATGATCAAATACTCACCCTCAGGCCATCTAGAATGTAGATGTGTTTGTTTCTTCCTCAAAACAGGTCTGGAGAAAATTAGCATTACATCACTTGCTCACCAATGGATCCACTACAGTGAATGGGTGCCGTCAGAATGATAATACAGCTGATAATAGTGTCACAATAATCACAAAGCTTGTTTATTATAAACTTCACTTTTTCTGAACTCCTTTCTGATATTTTTCAAATACTTAGGCTATTTACTATGGATGTTTGTTTTACCTTTGTTCACTTGTACATTTTCTGTCAATTTTAAGAATTAACACTTCCGTTCTGCTTTTTCTGAATTAGTACCTGGATTGCACACAATGTTTTTGGTGTAGCTGGTGGAAATTGTCTGGTTTATGAATTGTCTGAACATTCAGCCCTGTTTCAACAAATGTTTCTGAAGATAAAGCCTGAATCCAGTGGAGGTTTTCAAATTCTCATTTGTGGAAAAACACTATCAATGCTTTCTTTTGCACTCATTTTGTTCTTTCTTTCATTTTTCCCCTAGGTACATGGAATGGCACGACTAAAGTAGCTATAAATACACTGATGCCGGGCACAATGTCTCCTGAAGCCTTCCTGCAGGAGGCCCAGATCATGAAGAAACTTCGGCATGACAAGCTGGTGCCCCTGTATGCTGTTGTGTCCGAGGAGCCAATTTATATTGTCACTGAGTACATGGGCAAAGGTAGCTTGCACTCTTGTCTTCCTTATTTCTTCTGTGTATAAACTCCAGACAGTGTGTGTGTGATAGATAGATAGATTTTACATATATGTCATCATATATTTCAATTAGTGTGGTTCATATAATGATTTTGATCCGCTTTTAAACACTCAAGTTAAAATTAAAATTTTGAAAAACTGCTTCACTTTTTGCCTCTGTCTTTTAGGGAGTTTGCTGGATTTCTTGAAGGAGGGTGAGGGCAAGTACCTCAAGCTGCCCCAGCTGGTAGACATGGCTGCCCAGGTGAGAGAAAAAAATTAACATGATCCACTGTTAACCAGCCAGCTCTGTTTTCCTTTTCCACATGCAGTAACACACCCAATCGTTAGCAGAAGCATGTCACAGTGAACCTGGACGAGTGGCATCTCCCAGAGCCGGCAGGGTTTCTGTTTCAGCCTCCATCTGGCTGTCATATTTATTTCATATCTGATATGACATCCTGCTGCCTGTGTGTCTCTCCCAGGCACTATGATCCTCATTTCCCGCCTAATGCCTGGAGCGCTTAACTGCCACTCCTATGGGGCCACTTCACTTTAATGCGTCTACTCAATTCTGCTCTGTTCGCTTAAAAAGCTCGCTGTTGCTCTCTCATGTTCCTCTTTCCTACTGCGTTTTCTCTCTCTCTCGCCTCCCTGGGCTCTCAGCACTGCTGCATTGCTTGGCTGAGGCTTCAGTCTCCCTCTCACATCTCCGCTTGTGAGACGATGCTTATGAAACCCTTTTGGACAGTTTTGCTGTCTGATTGTTTGTTAAATTCCCTTAAGAATTTTCTTCCTGTTTTCTGTTTTGTCTTTTAAGCTTGTGTTTAGCAACCTGTTTGCTTGCTGTGTAGATTTTGCCCATAAGCAGCTAAATGAACGTTGGTTAAAGCATAGCTTTTTAAGAACTGAAACTTCGATCATGTGCCACCTCATCTGAACCCATAAATGCAGCATTTCAGCTCTCTTAATATAGGACTCCCATGACTGGATCTGACATGTTGGCTTTTGTAAGAGCTTCTGGAGGCTTGATTTCCTGTCATTTTGTCTAGATTGCAGATGGCATGGCCTTCATCGAGAGGATGAACTACATCCACAGAGACCTGAGGGCTGCTAACATCCTGGTGGGAGACAATCTGGTCTGCAAGATCGCCGACTTTGGCCTGGCTAGACTGATTGAAGATAACGAATACACTGCTAGACAAGGTACGTGGACGGAAATGCAATATTACCAACATGCGATAATTACTTAATTGCCTGGTCACGCTTTATGTGATATTAGAAATAAATCATGATTATTATCCACATTAAATTCCAGTCACGTACTTCCATCCGACTAAGGGAATTTTAAGTGAATGTAGACGGTTTTTAGCCTCTCTTTCCGGTGCAGTGGTGCGTTATGTGAGCAGTGTATTCTAATGTTATAATATTGTAAAAAAAAAATTTATATTATTTTATGACTAGAATAATATTCCACTCAGGTTGTGAATGGAAAGTGGATGAAGAATTTCTTCTTAATGATATTCTGCTCCTGTGCTTTTTATTTTACAAAGAATTAAACGTAATTATGTATTTTATTCTATGATTATGATTAATATAAAACCAAAGCGTTGATTTGAAAATGGAAACCTTTCATCTGAGTAAAAAGAGGAAATGGTCGCACAAAATATGCATGGTGAAATATGGAACTCACCATCTTTTGTCTGCAACAGTGCTGCTACTGGCAACAAAGCTGTTGTGCTAGAAATTACAAGGCAATCAGCATCTAATCATGCACAATTACCTCGCTTACTGTCTGAAGCCATCATCTCCCAGAATGCACTGTGATTGTTTAGAGCACGTTGACTTGCCATTACCTACATAAATGGTGAACGATGATTTTTCCCTGCAGGTAGTCTTGAGTGCCCAAAGGCTTCGGGGCAGTAAAGAAAATGGTACATCACATACTACAATCTTATGCTTTGTTTATGCAACTGCATTTGTAGATGTTTCACTAATGATCTTTAAAGATCAATGAATCAATGTCTTTCAGTTTCTCATGTTCCCTGATTTGACACTTCATTGGTTATTATTGACTGACTAATTAATAAACTCACCTGTCAGAACACTTTAGATCAGCACATAAACTGCTGACTCAGTTAGCTTTAATGCTTGTGCAAGAGGCGGAGGTTCAAATCCGGCTTGTGTTGTGTATGTTGCTGAACCCATGAACACAGCATCAATGGGTTGACATGGCCAAAAAAAAAAAAGAAACAATAAAATGAATTTAATTTTTTACATAAGTAATGTGGAGGCCTACAGGATGTTTTAAAATGCTGACATTTGCTTTGCTTTAGTAAGAGCCATTGACTCTACTGCAGTAATTTAGAGAATGTGTGCCATTGTTCCTTCAGGAGCCAAGTTTCCCATTAAGTGGACTGCACCAGAAGCAGCGCTGTACGGCCGATTCACCATCAAATCTGACGTCTGGTCCTTTGGTATCCTGCTGACGGAGCTTGTGACCAAGGGTAGAGTGCCATATCCAGGTGAGAAATGTTACATTTGATTTAGCAGTAAATAGATTTTTTTTTTCCTCACACTCTTTAATTTAGGATAATTACATTTCATATAATTTGAGGTAGACTTCCATGCCTATTTAAAAGTATAGTTCACACAAAAAAACATAATCGCCCTCATGTTGTTTAAAACCTGTAAGACTTTGTTTAATCTTTGAAAACAATATTTTAATAAAACCTGAGCATTTTCTGCTCCTCCTTTGAAAGTGCATGTAACCAAAACTCAGAAGATCCAAGAAGGTCATAAAGAAATCATAAAAGGAATCCATATGAATTGAGTGGTTTAATCCAAGTCTTGTAAAGAGGTATGATCACTTTATATGATAAACACAATTAATTTAGGTTTTTATTTACTTTTAAACAATGATCAACACGCATGCATGGAGCACATCACTTATGGTAAACACGGAAGCTCAAACGTGTGAGCGCGATGCACAGGAACAAATGAGGTATGCTTTAGCGCAGGGGCTCTCAACTCTGGCCCTCGAGATCCACTTTCCTGCAGAGTTTACATCCAACCTTGATCAAACTCACCTGACAGTAACTTTCTAGTAATCCTGAAGACTTTGATTAGTTTGTTCAGGTGTGTTTGATTAGGGTTGGAGCTAAATTCTGCAGGAAAGTGGATCTCAAGGGCCAGAGTGAGAACCCCTGCTTTAGCGTGACGTATGTATTTTATATGTGAAGAAATACCTAAATTAAATCTGTTCATCATGTAAAGCAATTACATTTCTTCACTGGGAGACTGGGATTAAACTACTTTATTCATATGGATTTATTTTACAACAACTTTATGACCTTTTTGTGTCAGTTTTGCTTACCTGGACTTTCGATGGAGGGACAGAAACTTCTCAGGTTTCATTAAAAATATCATAATTTGTATTTCAAAAGATTAACCAAAGTCTAATGGGCTTGAATGACATGGGGGTGAGTAAATAACAACAGAAATCTCATTTTTGGGTGATCTACCCTTTTAATATCATGCATAACCAGAGAGAGACACCTGAACCAGCTAATCATGGTCTTCAGGGTTTACTCAAAAAATCACAGGCAATTGTGTTCAAGCAGGGTTGGATCCAACAGGCCCGCAGGGTAGGTAGATCTCCAAACTGAGAGGTGCAGATTCCACTGTGCCCCCTACTGGAGCAGAGAGGGACTGCTGGGTGTGTTATTACTACTCCGAAGGAGCCATCTGGTTTAGGCGGGCATGAAGGACTGACTGGGCACCAGTTCTTATTTACCACCATCTGTCTGTTCCCTTCCTGCACCCGTCCCTCACACAGCCCAGTCTGTCATTTGTAGTGCTTACCTAAAGCCTCTCACTGATGCTGCACATCACAAACCTGTTAGGCTTTCATCAATCATTCAGTCATACACTACTAGACTCAGTCCATTATTGATGGGCATCTGCTTCCATGCAGAGCCCTAGAAGAGGCTGGATTAATGCGGCAACTTCACTCAAGTGCCGGCAATGTGGCTTAGTGGTTAACGAACTGGGCTGGTTGCCAAAAGCTTGTAAGTTTGAACCCCAGTAATAGAGAGCCTTAAACTATCAGCATTTTAACCTTGAGCAGATGCCCTTTGGATGTTAGTGTACACTGTTCGGCTGTACAGGTTTGAATTGATTCATAGTGCAAATACTGGAGTCAAAGAGAAAGTTTATAATCTGTAATATATGACAGTGCTTTGCCTTAAAGGGATAGTTCACCCAAAAATGAAAATTCTGTCATTAATTACTCACCCTCCAGGAATGTAGCAAGGAAATCGGTAAAATAGTCCATGAGACATCAGTGGTTCAACCGTAATTTTACGAAGCTACGAGAATATTTTTGTGCGCATAGAAAACAAAAATAAATACTTAAATGTATCACGATGCATGCGCTTGCTTCCGCATCATGTAAACAACGCATGCGCATGGTGCCGCTGCTTACGTAACACGCACATGCGTCAGCTTCGCATGCATCGTTTACATGATGCGGAAGCAAGCGCATGCGTCGTGATACTCTGTCCACAATGGCGGCACATTGCAAGAGACTTGATGAGGAGAAGTGTTGTTGAATAAAGTTATTTTTGTTTTGTTTGCACACAAAAAGTATTCTCGTAGCTTCGTAAAATTAAGTTGAACCCCTCATGTCACTATTTTACCGATTTCCTTGCTACATTTCTGGACCTGGGAACTTTACAGTTGTCCGTTTCTGTCTATGAAGGGTCAGAGAGCTCTCAGATTGCATCAAAAATATCTTAGTTTGTGTTCTGATAATGACTGAAGGTCTTACAGGTTTGGAACGACATGAGGGTGAGTAATTAATGACAGAATTTTCATTTTTGGGTGAACTATCCCTTTAAGCATTTCCATCCAAGCCACAACAGGAAGTCCAGCAGCTTTTTAACTTCCCACTTAACATAAGATTTATTGATTCGAGTTTAGCACACATACGACTTATTGTTGTGAGTCATTATGCAAGCGAGAGTAAATGAAAGTAGGCTGAGCTCAAAAAGGTCACTCGGTGCTTCTCGCATGCATAAAGATAAAGAATCCTTTCTCTGAGAGAGCTCTCGGATACAGTCGACCCACTGATTTACACTTCCTGTCCTCTCACGTAGCACCAGACTGTCTGTCCCCTCTGTCCTCGACACTCCCGTCCTCTGTGGGTTCCAAGCGAAGTGTCCGCTGTAATTACACACCCCTCACATCCTGTCTGAGACAGTCTGGCCGCTGAACAGTGGGCGGTTGCACAAACTGACTCGGTATCAACTGTTTTTCAGGCATGGTGAACCGAGAGGTGTTGGAGCAGGTGGAGCGGGGCTACAGGATGCCGTGTCCTCAGGGCTGCCCGGAGTCGCTGCACGATATGATGCGGCTCTGCTGGAAGAAGGAGCCAGACGAGCGGCCCACTTTCGAATACATTCAGTCCTTCCTGGAGGACTACTTCACCGCCACTGAGCCACAGTACCAGCCTGGAGACAACCTGTAGAGACCTTCTACGGGACCCAGAGACGTGCTAATAAGCCACCAGGACGGTTCCCAAACCCATTGTGGCACCTCCTCCCTACAGCTCCCCTGCACACTTGTCCTTATAGAGATGTTTTTGTTTCTTTCTTTTCCCCCAAGAGTCAAACTTAAAAACTCGATTAGTGCATCTAAAACATGTCTTTCACTGCAGATACAGGCTGTTCTCTGCCTGAGGATGTGTGTGTGGCGGAATTGACGAGGGTGTGTGTGTATGAGCGGGAACACGTCACGCTCCCAGAGCTCTGCTGGGGTGATTCCCTGCATTGCAGACAGAGGGAGCTGTGAAACAAGCGATGAGCTTAGTGCTGATGGCTGATTCACAAAATCAGCTTTTTCTTTCATTTTTCTTTATCTATTTTGTTTTTCCCTCCCTTTTTTTGTCTGTTTTCTTTTTCACCTGAACACTAAATCTTTATTATTTTAAAGTTGTTAATTTTTCTTTTTCCCCTTTTTTTTTCTTTTATTTGGTAGTTTGAGTAGTTTATTAAAAGTGACCAATAACTGTGGTTGAATCGGTTGGCGCTACCAGTGACAGTGCCATTGTTGGGACGGGAAAGTCAAAGTCAAAGAAGGACAGAGAGAATGAGACGCATGAGGGCATCAGCCGTTCTGAATGTATGGGAGCTTGAGTTTAAGACATCAATTACAGGGGCAGAATTTATTTTTCTCTAAAACACTTTTATAGCAAAGCATGATTTTGAATAAGTACCTTCATTTCAGTTTCAATTAATCTCAATCTCTATGAGAGCTTGAAATCATATCCTGAGAGATGATTCATATTGGAAAGCCTTCACAAAACATTTCTGATGACTGATCGCCATTTCAGCCAGCTGCTAATTTTCAAGCAAAAAGTCATTATTATAAATCGTATTTTTGTCTCAAGGGTAATAAAGCAGAGAGGCTTTTGATTAACAAAACACTAGACCTGACCAGTCCAAACATCATTCCTCATGCTGCTGTTGAGACCCGACAGGTCGCAATATCACAACAGCAATGCCTGAGTTGCTTTTTTTTACGCACATCAGCACCCACACTGCCAGGTTTGTGTTTTTTGTGCCAACACATTTGTAGTGTTGCCAACCTCTTGGTACTAATTCCAACCTCTTGGTACCAATTAATTGTTCTCTCATGTACACTCCAATAAATGAACCACAGAGATTTATTGATCTTTCACAGATGATTTCATACATAAATATTTCAGTATATTTCAAGAGAGCCATGGTTTCTTCATCTTGACATACGAATGTGAACTTGCTCAAATTATTTCACACCGATCTTTGTTTTTGACCAGGAATCAGAATTACAAAGCCTTTTTAACTCCATGATGTACCACATTTGCTGCTGGTGGAGTTGTTACATTTCCTGTTAAGGCGTCACTGTGAAATATTCAGGTACTACAGATAGAGACCATTTACCAACCAAAGTTTGATGGAGTCAAAAAGAAAATTTGCCTTTCATCTTGAGCGCATTTAAAAAAAGTATGTGATTGATGTTTTCCTTGATCTGTTAAAATGGTACAAGTCTAATGGAGAAGGCAAATTAGACCTCATCATACAGCCATACAATTTTTGCACCACTATTACAGATTTAGTCTTAATGTTTGGTCATGTACTGTCTGTAATGGGTTCATTTTATCCATGACAAGGAATTGAATGCACTTGGGATGAATCAGACCGATATCGTTTGGAGGGCTAATTTGTTGGTTTCGTCTCCCTTTTTGTCATGTAGCTTTACATATATAGCGAGAGGCCTTGCTTTTGTCCTTCCTGTACGTGAGCCCTTTGTTCTAGGGACTTGTCTCCTCCTGTATCCAGGACATCCACTAGACATCTCTCCCATCACTACAAGGGCTTACAGGCAAGTTTGTGCAAAACTCTGTTATTGATTTTTGTTCTTTGTGTCAAAAGAAAGAAAATACTCTAATGTAAGATGAGGGTCTCCGCTGCAGAGTTTGATGAGGACGGTTGTTGTGAAACAATGGTTATGATTACTAATCTGAAGAATTTGTACAGTAAAAAATAAAGTTTTACGTAATGCTTTTAACTCCATGGGGTTATTTGTAAATCATGTGTGTTTGTGTTGTTCAGACTTTTGAACTGGAACTCGAAAATTTAGGTAGATGGCATTGGGACTGAACAGAAACATGGAAGCTCTTTTCCACCTGACAGTGTAAAAAAAAAAAAAAGTGCATAATCTGAATTTGGATCTTGCAATATCAGTGCATATCTCAATGTGGCTTTATTTATTATTGTAAGTTTCACACAATTACATTTTTTTACTCCGAGACAGAAACAAGGTTCCATGGAAACATGCTCAAGAATTATATTAAACATTTATAATGCTTTATAGTTTTTAGATTTCCCAGAGTGAACGCATAAAGGCCAACAGATGTAATAAACGAGAAATGGTTTTGCACTAAAAGTAAATTATTTTTAAGGAGTGATTGTTATACCTGTTTACAATCACACATTGATATAAGTACATTTCTGGCATACTGATGTTTAAGTCAGTTAACACAAGACAAGTTACAAATGCAGCTAACTGGAACCTGTCACATGAGAAGACCATAAATAAATAACAATAATTGCAGTGACTTGACTTTTAAACTTAACACAATGCATAAAATATAACTAAATACATAGAATATACCAGTGTACCCTGGTTAGTGCTGGGAAGAAAACTGATGACTTGTAGATTATACATCATCATGCCTAAAAAAAAGAAAAACAAGAACAGTTAGACTAGTCAGAGGTCATTTTAAATTTAGAGTTAGTTTAGATCATTTTAAAATATTAACCCTGTAGAGTCTGACATAGTCAGATTTTTTAAAACTCTTTATTGAACCTTTAAATAAAGCATCTTTTTTTTTTAATTGCTTATATTTTTTGATACATAAAGCTTTTATGGGCCATCTAGTATGATGAGGCTATGTAGCTATAAATTTTATTCAGGAGCCAAAACTGAGAAAAACTATGCAATTTGGTGCAGCTGTTGTTATAAGTGGGCAAAAAGTAAGATTAAATTCTGATAGCTTGTAATGTAAATCAGTTAGATTTTTATAACTGTATAACAGACTACTTAGAACAAATTCACAGAAGTATCAGTTGTCATATCTCCCAATATTATGACTTTGTAAGATGATATTTAAATACTTAATTTTATGATCAGTGCTGTGTTTTTTAATTTTGGGGGCAAACGCATTAAAATACAGGACGATGGTGAATGAGAGATGTACAAATAAACGTTCCTCAAAAGCCTGTAGTATGATAATTGATGCATGCATTTTAACACTATTTTTCTTTATATTATGTATATAAATAAAACTAGGTTGATTCAGTCCAGTAAATGATTATATTGAAATATTCTTATATGTACTTAATAGAAATCATCAAATATTTTTGACAAACATTTTTACAGTTATATTTGCAGGCCTTTTTCTTGCTAAAAAAAAAAACTATCAACAGGTTTTTCATCAATGTTTTTGTCATTTTTATTTTTTAAAGCCCTTAAAAATCCATGTATCAAATATTATGCAGCAAGCTTGATAGGGTTAATAATTTAAATACTTTTAAGCATGGCACCACATTGGCTCCCTCAGTCCCTGGTTAAGAACCTCTGATTTATGTGATTAAACTGTGGGGTGAACTGTCCCTGTGAAATGTGTGCTGATGAGTGTGAACTATTCTGACATGTTGCATGATGTGACTAATTGGAAAGTGTCTCACCTGGCCATCTGCTTGTACATGCCCAGAGCCTCCTGTGCCACATACTGCATGAAGGCAGGATCCTGCAGCCTGAGACCCGCAGGAACGGTCAGGGTGAGAGTGGGGGAGTTGAGAATATTCACTTCCACTGTAGTGTCTGCTGCTGGGGTGTTGTCGCCCTCCTCGGTCTGTGCCACAAACTTTTTTTCAGATCAATAGATTTAGTATCAACTAAATCTACCACCACTGTTGCTTTATTTCTCACCTACTGAATAATTTCCATATTCATGTAGCATAGTATTTCAATGAATACCATGGTACTACCATGCTACATGTCCAAAATAGCACAGTATGACAAAAAAAGGGTAATATGATGATATTTTCTCGGAAGTGGCTCACCGTGGCAATACTGAAGATGCTCTCAGGTGTGGTGTTGTTATTGGCGAGCTCAGTCACCCAACCAAAGTCAGAGGCCATGTTGCTGAGCCAGCTGATGGTGTCATCAGTGTGACGTTGCACATGCAGCACCTCTTCGTACTGCTGCTTGGACGCTTCCAACAGCTGAGAGGCGTCATCCAACTCGATGTGTAGTTCTCTTACATTTGGGCATTCTGGGAATCAAACAATAAGTACTTGAAATGATCAGTATCACTGGTAAGAGTTTTCTAAAGGGACAGTTCACCCAAACATGTAAATTCTGTCTTCATTTACTCAGTCTCCTGTTGTTCCAAACCTGTATGACTTCAGTTTTTCCATGGAACACAATGATAAAAGAGAAATTCCGGAGCCTATACGATGGTGAGGAGAACAGCTTGGTCTTCGGAGTGATTTTTTTCAATGGATCAGTTTCACTAACCAGCCTGATTTATTCTTTCATGAGTCTGAATGATCTGATTCTCAATATCAACTCACTCACTGTCATCTGGTAGTTAACAGTTAATTGTCAGTGAATAATGTCTTCATAAACAATGACTGGTCTATTCCTCACACTTCTGAAGAGCTGGAATGTAGTGAGTACAGGATTTTCCCTTTTTGTGTTCCATAAATTCAGGTTTTAAACAACATGAGAATGAGGCTGACAGGATTTTCATTTTTGGGTGAACTACCCATTCAACTAATCAATGTGAGTGTGAGTTCTTACCGGTAAACAAGTTTCCCTGGCAGGCCTCACACTTGCTCTGCAGCTGCCAGCACTCTGAGGACTGTCTGCGCAGATCTTTGCACAGCCTCTTGTCCTGTAGAAGCTGAGGGAAGAGTTTCCTCTCTGGAGTGAATACAGACACATGTAGAGAAAGTTAAGGCCTGTTCAAACCAAGATCGATAACTATATTAGCATTCACACCAGCGCACAATAACTTTCTGTTTAAGAGCACACTGCAGTTAGGTTGTCTGCTACTTTAAAAGCTCAAGCTCTTTTAAATCAGGTGGATTCCTATTGGCTGTCAATGTTTTATCATTCATCAACTGGGGGATTGTTGTGAGACCCCCAATAACTCTTGGCCCCCACTAGCCACACCCCTGTCTGTCAATGTTTTTATCGATCATCATCTGGATAAAATAGCTCTGAAAGTGACAGTTGGAATTGTGGCCTGAGCTATTCTATTCTATTAGCGTGAAGGCTCGTTTTTAAACACCCACAAAATAAACAATAACTAATTAACATCCACAACACAGGTTCTGTTTATTATATGATTCGTCTGCCTCTTTAAATGCTTGAGTCAGGTAGATTCTGATTGGTATAGTTATCGTGCACGGTGTGAACGGGCCTGAACTATAATAATGATAAGCATATTAGCGTCAGAAATGACGGATGGTAATATTTTACTTGTTTTGATTAGGCTGTTTATGTTTTCATAGTTTATCAGCCAGAAAACATCGTTTTGAATTGGCCTTGGGAACTTTGTACAGGCGTATTCTTGCATTAAAGTAATAGTTAACCCATAATTCTTTCATTATTTACTTAAATGTGAACTGTTTTAATTACTTTTTATGATTAAAAAGTACTGTGAAAACTGACAGCCCCTATTCTGACTTTCATTGTATTGCAAAGAATGGCCAAATTATTATTTATGTATGCACCTTTTGTGTCCCACAGAATAATGTCATTGGTTTTGAAACAACGTGGGTGAGTAAATGATGACAGAATTTTCGGTATGTGTACTTACCTAAGAAAGTACTGGTAATATAAGGTAACTACATGGGGAAGAGTTAGGTTTAGGGGTAGGTTCAGGCCAGGGTTATTACCTAGTTATAATATTTACTTTAACAAGTACATCGTATGTACATGAGGGACAGAACTGTAAAATAAAGTGCTACCGAATTTTCATTTATGGCTGAACATGTCAGGATAATGCACCTTTCTCCTCCTCTGTCTTCTCCATAGCATCATGAATGTCACTGAAGGCATGTGTGACTACGGCCCCAAACTCCTCCAACACACTTCTGCCAAAGTCAAAGAAGGACTCCAGCACATCTTCCAGTCCCACACCCTCCAGAGCTTTGTTGGCAGGCTTGAGCACCAGCTCCCTCTCTTTATCCTCCTGAAGCTCAGGGCTGAAAGCCGTTCGTAGGGCCTGGTCCAGCTCATGGTGGAAGTGGGAGACCAGCACGACACTGCGATTGACCAGACTTCCCACTTTGGTGAGCAGGTTGCTGAAGGAGTCCTCGATCCTCACCACCTCCAGGTCAGGATTCTCTGCGCTCTGGTTCAGCACAACCTCATCCTGAGTATCACGAAGGCCAAAGCGAGAGCTCAGCCTTTGGAAGAAGTTCTGTAGCTGTGGAGAACAGAAAAATTTGTGATACAACTTTGGTATTTTGATTCCATTTATAGCTATTAAATAGTTTCAAAACACAGCATTTGAATGGCAAAGGTGGATGAGAATTCTGTACTTTATTGGTGAAGGTGGCGAATCCACGGCGGCAGGTGTTGGTATAGAAGTTCTTACAGGTGTCCTCAAGACAAGGTCGACATTCCTCCCAGGAGGACTTTAGAGACTCCTTACATTGCTGCTCTGCTTCGTTCAGCTTCTTTTCTATATCCTGTGCGATCTCTGCTGCCCCCTGATGGTGCAAGAAGCCAATGACAGGTTTCGAACATTTATATTAAAATGGCACTTTTATGTTTATAATTTCTTGTTTAACACAACTAGAAAGACCGTTTATTTTGGTTTTAAAAAATCCCACTTAAATATTCACTGACCTTTTTCTTCTCCCCGCTGTGCCTGAGGGACTTCATGAGGTTTGCATGTTTCTCTTCGTTCCTGGCCATCACCTCCTTCATTTGTTTGATCCCAAACAGTGCTTTGCTGACCTCCTGATCCACCAGCTTCTCCCCTTCCAGAGACAGGCCTGAAAGACCATCACATTTCAGGTCATCTACATGTCATTAGGTTGTTCCCTGGTTTTGTGTATTCATTTGAGCACATAGTCGTAATATTCATTTCTTCTGCTATAGGATGCACTCACGTTTGAGAGTGCTGGCTGATATCGGAGGTGGGGCAGTATCAGGGGCACAATGAAAGGCCCCCAGAGACGCCAGTAAAACCAGAGAGAAGATCAACGCCCTCATCCTCAGCAACTTCAAAGGAGTAACAAAACCTGTTTAAGAAACTAGTAGGTGGTTTAGAGACTTTCATAAAATAGTTGTAGCTATTTTTTTTTAAGGCTTTATAATATATAATACACAATAAGACGACATCTTGTCTCTCCTTTTTGTCCCCAGTCAGTCTCAACAGTTTTGATCATGAGAATGAAGGAGCAGTAATAGCTGTGAGTAACCACTGTGTGGCACTACATCTTCACTGAAAATTCACGGTTCAAAGAAATTCAGTGTTTTATAATTTACAGTCAGTATATGTCACTCTTTAGTCCGTGTATCTAATCCATTAGATAATCCACATGTTATGTTTGCTTCCAGATACTTCCACTGAGAATCGAGGCCCAATTCTCTAGAAGCTTCTTTCTGGGATTAAGTAGGTGTAATATGGGATCTATTAAGCAGTTTAAGAGGTTACAGAATGTGGCTTCATATTATAGAGCCAAACAAGTCTTGTGACTATCTACCCAAAAACCTCCATTTGGTCTTCTTTTCAAGATCTGCAACCAGACACACGAGGTGTTATCTTAAGAGGCAATGCATTCTAGAATATTCTAGAAATACCACCAGAGGTGCACAAGTTCACCAGTTTTACTTCATTACCATCTGTTGTCTTGAACACAACAGAGCCAATATATTTGGTAGGTCCATGTCAAAAGTGTGCTGGTAAAACGATCAGTACATAATTTTCTGCCATTGATATTTGTGGCCAAGTTTGTTACACAATAGTGTCTGCATTAGTCAAAATGAGGATGTGCTTTTAAATCACTGCTTAAGTATTTAACAATTAAATGCCACAGATAACTTCATTTAGTATCAAATTAGCTCTGTGATGACATCCTAAAATTATCTGTAAATTGTATGTGCATGCCTAATTGCTTATATTCATTATTGATCTGTTTGTTTTTAGATCAGTAATATATCAACATGGCAATTCACGTTTAGCATATCTGATTTCCGTCCACAGTAAAATACACTGTGTGATCATAAGTAATCATACAGTACTGTCCGATTAAACATTTCAGGATCTTTACAAAGTATACAATAATATTATTAATGTAAATAAACCACGATCATATTTCCCTATATATTATGAGAGAGAAGTAAACAGAGCTATCTAACATTATATGAAGATCAAAGGATAGGAACTCACCAGAAAATTCCTACTGATGTCTGACTATGCAGTGTGATTAATGCTGTTTGCTGCAGAGGGGGAAGGTGTGTTGTTTATCTTTACCTGAACACTTCTATTTATACCAAGTAGAACAAGAGACGATCCAATTAAAGCATTTAAAGGTTATGACCCTCCAAGATGTAACTAGCTTTTGTTTAGCTGTTCTCAGTACCTAGTTACACATATTTACAAACCTGCAGCATTTTTATATCAGCACAATGATGCTATCTGGAATTTGTATTTATTAACATGGTACACTTTTTTTTTAATGTTTTTGAAAGAATCTTCTCACCAAGCCTGCATTTTTCAAATTTAAAAATACACTAAAACCAGTACTATTGTGATATAATATTGTATTTTTTTTCTGTTTTCTATTTTAATATATTTTAAACTGTAATTTATTCCTGTGATGTAAAGCTGAATTTTCAGCAGCCATTACTCTAGTCTTCTGCGTCACACAATCCTTCAGAAATCATGCTGATTTGGTGCTTAAAAAAAACATTTCTTATTATTATCAATGTTGAAAACTTTAACAAAACTGATGAATATTTCTGTGAAAATTGTGATAAAGTACTTTTTCAGGTTTTAATTAATAGGCAGTTTAAAACAACGCCATTTATTATTGTTATTTAATGTCCTTGCTGAATAAAAGTATAAATTACTTAAAAAAAATAAATAAATAAAAAAAAAACACAGCAAACTATTGAATGGAAGTGTTTGCTAATTGTGTTATGGCATTTTTATAGTTTTACTTATTTTTTAGAACAAAGGTAAATTTGGGTAAAGGTCAGTTTTAGGTAAAGGTAAATACAGCAAAGGTAAATTTGATAAGTTTTATGATGTATATCACAAAGTCTTAAAGTCTCAAGGTTTAAAATCAACCTTGTGTATATAACGAAGTAGAAATTGGCAACAAAGACGTGGTGTAGGCCCACATTCCCCTCACGTTTCTCATTAGCGCACCATGTCCTTGTAAAAGTGCCCTCTCTTCAGGGCTTGTGACCCTGAAAATAGTATTTTCTAACCTCTAATGAGAAACAGCAATATGGGCCACTGGTATGTCCATCTCTGCTAAGTCTAAACACACCTGTTTCTCATAACCCTATCTGGACCTGTCGCGCTCATCTAGTGCCAAAGACCTGGCAGTTGGCACGCCGAGGGTGAATTACTGGATCTGAGAGCACGGAAACCTCAGAATACATATAAACAGTAATGACAGAACATGCTCTGAAAACATTGCTTTAGTATAAAACGATACAGACCTCCTTATGAAAAAGTACCATGAAAAGTTGCCAGATTTTTACCATATTGGATGTCCTTCAAATGCTGTAAGCTTTCAGAATCATTTTGTTTAATTTCTGTAACAACAGTAGCAACTATGGTATTTTGGTGGAAACTATGGTCACCATGGTAAAGTTTGAAAGTAAAGTGTCATTCCGAAGGTCAATAAAAATGGATAAGGCACCTGCTCTGGCACAAAAAGGCTCGGGCGATACTTAAGAGGGCACATAAAGTCGGTTTAGAGCCCAGCAGTGCAGCTTTAATACGTTGGAGCTGTTTTTTTTTTTTACTTTATTGCTTAGCCTTGTTAAGTTGGAAAAACATTTCTGGCCAGTGTGGTGCTAGACTTGTGTGGTTGCAGCGGATCACACGATTCTGAACAATCCAGCAGGATGTCAAAAAATTAATCACGGATCCCTGTGGCAAAGGAATTTAGAGAGAAATGCAAAGAAAGAACAAAATGAACTGTGTGTTTATTAAACCCGAAGGGAGCGGAACAGTTGTGCAAGCAATTTTGAGCAACAGTCAACACACGCAAAGGACTTTTCACTTGGCAGCCCTGGGATTCAGAGCCAATACGCTGGCATACCCAAGACATTTATTTGAAAAATAGCACCATAATTGATTAAGAAAAGATTCAGTAACACTTTATATGAAGCATATATACAAACCTATATTATCATGTTAATGTTGTTGTCATATAACACATGACACTTGGTGTTGGACATGTTTTATTACATTAAACACATGATCAACACGATATTTTTGAACGCATGATGATCTTTTGTAATGGAGAATATTGTCACATTATAAGGGAGAAACTATCCAAATGGAACTTGCTTTTAACAGCCTATTACAAGCTTTTCAGTCTAACTTTAAATTAAAAATGATGTAACATAATTTAGGAAACAGTTAAATTAATAATTATATAATGTAATTATATTATTGTGTAATTACCTAAAGCTTAAAGGGATAGTTCACCTAAAAATGAAAATTCTGTCATCATTTACAAACCCCCCACTTGTTACAAACCTTAAACAGAGTTTATTTCTTCTGTTGAAAAAAAAAAAAAAGACATTTTAAAGAATGTTGGTAACCAAACAGTTGACGGTAGCCATTGACTTCCATTGTATTTTTCCCATATGGAAGTCAATGGTTACTGTTATGTGTCATCAGGTTGTCCCTATCCCTTTAAAACACATGACAACATCTTGCAGTGAGATACTTTGTTCACTTGTTTATCCACCAACTACAGAGAAATATTATATTAGTATATAATTTGTAAAGTAGTAATTTGAATCGAAGAGGGGTGTGAACTAGATATTTGAAACCTACACACAAAACCACTAGAGAAAACACTAATTTTTGTAATTTTACATTGTAGTTACTGATATAAAGCTTTCGTTTGTCACAACTCCAGTCTTCACTTCATATACATTATTCCAACCTAATAGTGGACATAAAAGTGTTGATAAAGACTTTTTTCTACACTGAAAGATTGGCCCATGCTAGGTTTTAACTCATGTTAAGCAATCATCAAAGTGGTGAAGAACAGTGCAGAGTATAAAGGTGTTAGAAATGCTGAGTTTTTGGGTGAACACAATTACGTTTGAGTTGTAATGTTTTCTATATTGTTTCTTTACCGATTAAGATTTCACAGCACTTCAAGCTCAACAAAAACTAACTCGTGCAACGTGTAAGACCCTCCCATGTGCCAAGACAAGAGGAAGTTTAACTCCAGATGCGGTGCGGCACGTTCAGAGTTTCAGAAAAGAAGAGGCTACTGCTGCTGCTGCTGCTTTTCACCTGGTTTCCCCTTAAGAGATTCAGTTCATGTAGAAAACAAGTGAACTAACAGACACCCTACGGACTGCCAATTTCTCTCTGGTTCTCGGGTTGCAGCCAAAAGGCAGAAGAGGAGGCATCCTCACTCACCTCAAGTGAATTTCCATCGCGAACACGTTCTCATGGAGAGAGAAAAAGTTTGCGTCTTAAGCAGAAGTCTGTAGCCTGCGACTCATTAAACATCGTGTCCACGAGTTTTTCCTTTTGTTGTTTGATTTTTTTTTAAGTTTAGCGTCAGTCACAGGGATTGAGGTGGTGATAAACATTCTACGCATGTTTCAAGTGGAATATTAGCATCTGTGAAACTTCACTGTGGATTCCTGAGTCCCCGCTATTGTCATGAGATTAATGTGAATTTTTGGCTCGTGACGGAACGGTGTACCTCAGTTTTACCACAATGAAGGGTAAGTTGCATTTCAAATTATCCACTGCTTACACATTTTTAGTGCACTGTCTTTTTAAGAGAAGTCTCGAGTCTATCCACGCGTCTCGCTCTTCAGTTTTTTCTGCTTTTCTTTCTTTCTCTTGTGAGAGGAATGTGTGTTACTCCAGTGCACGAAACATCTGGTTGCGATTAACTGCTCGTAGAGTCTAAAATTGGCGGATTGTTTGGCTGAACTGTTATAAGAGGATTCACACACAACCTTGTGTTGCTGACCCGGCTATTGTCTGGGATGTTCAGTGACATTGCTCCCTTTATCTTAAAAAATCAAAACACGTGGCCACGTTACGAATGAGACATCTGGCGGGGTGTGAAGATGTGTCTCTAAAGCCCTATTCGCACGGTATTAGTATTACCTGGTGACCTCCAGTCATTTGTAATAATTGCGGAGGTTGAAAAACTTGTGAAATCTCATTTCTGCAAAGTTTCTATTAAATCTGATAGACTTCAACATGTTAATGTTCAGTTAAGTACGTGTTTGGATTCATTATTTTTAATTAAAACTTAAAAGTTTTACGCAAAAATAAATTAACAGAACTTTTGAGAACTATAAAAAGTAAATGTTAATATTATGTTGATATTAAAATAATGTGCACTGACTTGAGATGAATAATACAGATATAGCCTATCAGTCTTCTAGAAACATCTTTTGATTCTGCATGAAGTGGGCCCACTCGTATGGATGCAGTCATACTGAAGATCACATGATCAGCTTTTTTAGGTGCTTCTATAATAATGTTTATTTCATATAGCTGTATTTTAGTCAGTTCTTTTAGTCAGGTAGAAAGAACTTAGAACGATTAAACGGAACAAAAGATAAACAACTTCATTGTTAATCAGCAGCAGCAACAAAAAATGTTTCATCCAGGCTAAGTATAAACTGCTATACTATTGGGAGGAATAACAAATTTAATGAGTGCAGATTTAAACGTGTCATGTGCTCTTAATTCTAAGTCACAGTAATTTGTGCTGTGGAAATAAAGGGTCAGGATTATATAATTAAAAATGAAAAGGTCCTCTGTATTGGGTTGTTCTATGAGCCAAGATGTTTTCCATCTCAACTGCACACCAGAATTTAAATGTGTGACTCAGAGAGCCACTTACAGTAAAAACAACCCCCACATCTCCCCATCCTGGCTCATTTTGCATGTCCAATGGCCAGATGTTTTGACAAACACCAAGCCTTCGCGTCACATTTTTGTGCCTTATGAGTTACGCAACATTGAACAACTTCTCATTTTTAACCAGAAGACTGCCATCTAGTGGAAATTTCAATGTAGCCTAAATATTATGTGAGTTCATATTGAACTAAAAGCAAATGCATGTAGCCTCCATATGCATGAAAATTGACTTTAAAAAATCTTGCTTCATTGGAAGTGCAGTTTTAATGCAGCTGGAATTGAATGCAGTGCAATTAGAAAAAAAAATCACTTCTTAATGTGCATCTAAAAACAGGAAGTTGTATTTGTTGTCACTGTTTGTGTCAAAAAGTGGATTCCTGTGGGTTGCCTGGATTTTGGAATTCAGACAAGTAAAATAACTAATCTTTTGGTTAGATAAATGTTTATTTACCATAAAATCAATTCAAAGCATTAACATATTAATGATTAGTAAACCGAGCAAAAGGCACATTGGAAAAAAAAACTAATAAGGGTGTTTAGACCACACACAGTGAATTGTTGTTCCCCTGAGTAATGGTCATCCGCAGTCTTCTGTGATACTCCTCCATGCATAACATTTTTAACCTCGAAAGTTTTATTTCAAGCAATATTTCTCTTGCAATGTGAAGTTTCTGACCGTGGCTTTGTAAAAATATTGTTTTTTGGGTGTGTGGGAGTTTTGTTCCTTTGCATTTCCCAGAGTTTTGTTGTTATTTTCAGCTAAAATACTGAAATAGCTGTCGGCATTGGTCTACAATTCTTTGTCCCAAGCTATTTGTTCCCTGGTTTTCCACTCTGAGGGTTGTGTTGTGTGTCTGTCCAGTTGGGTGGCTGGACTTGAGGTCACACTCTGTGGGGTTTCTAACGGACTGTTCCCCCACCCACCTGCGGTTCTGACTCTGGTTTAGTATCAGAGTGAGGGGGAGTGGGCTGCAACTACAGAAACATGTGTTCTTTCTTTATTTTCTCTGGCCTTGGACAATGACACATAAAACCGCCTGGAGTCACCCCTCTCCTTTCCCATGAGCATGGTAGCCACAAGAGAGAGCGCTCCAGGACAGGAAGAGGAAGTAGAGGATGGTATCATTTAGTTAACTCGTGAATGAACCATCCTGGCCAATGTTATTTCAGCAGTCAGATGCAGAACACATGCTTTTTATCAATTCCAAAGCTGATGTTATGTGTGTGTTTGTTATTTATCTCAGCATAATATACTGACCTTGTTTCTGAGGAAGCATGAATATTGTCATATTTATTTGGTGTTATGACATTTCAGAGCTTGTTGTCTGTGCCTAGTAATGTATAATATATTAATGTTTCACTAATATATATAGGCCTATTTAAAGAAAACATGAATATTGTCACATTTATTTGGTGTGATGACATTTTAGAGCTTGTTGTCTGTGCCTAATAATGTATAATATAATATTTCACTAATTTCTCTAACTCCAAACTTTTAAAGAACACTGTATATATAGAGAGAGAGAGAGAGAGTCAGTGAGTTAAGTTTTTTTTTTTTTTTTTTTTAAGAAATTAATACTGTTATTCAGCAAGGATGTATTGAACTGATCAAAGGTGACAGTAAATACATTTAGAATGTTAGAAAATATTTCTATTTCAAATAAATGCTTTGATTTTTAACTTTCTATTCATCAAAGAATGCTAAAAAAAGAAAAATGTATCATGGTTTCCATAAAAATATTAAGCAGCACAACTCTTTTCAACATTTATAATAATAAAGAAATGTTTGAGCAACCAAATCAGCATATTATAAGGATTTGATTATTAATGAGTAATGACTGCTGATGTGCTCTTTGTGTGTTTATATATATTTAGCGACTTACAATAGAATAATATAGAATATACATTATATTAACGAATATTATTTTAGGACATTATTTGATTAACAGGCCTGCAGCACTTGCTATATACTAATTTCATTGTCATTTGTTACTTTTGCAGACGACTTCACTGATGAAGAGGAAGTGCAGTCTTTTGGCTACAAAAGGTTTGGTAAGTGTATTGCAGTGCCTGATGAATTTGCAGTCAGTTCATAATCAATATAGATGTGCTTCATTGTTTTCTTCATTCTTCTGCATATATTAGGTTGGATGTGTTTTAGTTTTTGAAAGGTGCATTGGATTCTAAATTATAGTCAGTAAAGCTGATTATAAGTTACACAAGGTCATGTCCTGGTGTGCACCGCAGTTGTTTTCCCCTCTAAACATGTGCTATTATCATTAGCCCAGCAGACAGATGTTTTAGTGAACAAATCTGGATGCCTCAGTTCTTTCTCTGCCTTTTGATCTTAAAGTTTTGTATTTGATCATGCTAAACTTGGAATATGTTTGAATTGTTTGCCTTTTTGTTTACAGTCCCATATTTTACATTCTTGGTGACTGTCAGTATTGAATATTTAATTGTTCATGCCCATTTCCTCTATTTTTACATTCAGATTACTTTTGCAGTCATCTAACAGTCAAATAAATTCACTTTAAAATACGAATAATTTATCAACACTGTTAAAAAGTCTAATCTCAAAATGAACATCCATTTTTCATACTGTATATTATAGTGTTTTGGTGCATAAATTCATTTGTAACATTTAAAACATCAGGTTCAATTTATTTAGACAAAATAATGTGAAAACATTTATCCAGAATTTTAATATCAGTGCATCCCTAGTTGTATTGAAAACTCCACTTACACATACCGTGGTGACAGGCGATGTTATAAAAATGATGAGCCATTGTCTGCTGGAGGAATGAATGTATGTTCATTTAACATCAGCCCTAAATCTAATACCTTCTGACTTTTAAGAAGTGACTTGTTTAATTTAGCCAGTGTATTTCCAAGAAAGGCCTCCAACAACAAATCACATTAACTGTGTAATTCGATAGTTTATTACCTATGCATTAAGGCATTTGTAAATCTGTAGTCTTTGGTGGTCCAGAAAGAGGTTTCAGGTTTCTAGCTGAGCCACCACCATCCAACTAGCACTTATTAAAGCAGCGTGAGTTATTTCCCAGTTTGACTTGGATTTCATTTCATGTAAATATAATGATAATTCCTTACATTTATATAACGCTTTTCTGGGCACTCAAAGCGCTTTACATAGAAGGGGGGAATCTCCTCAACCACCACCATGTAGAGTAATAATGTGCCATTTGACCACTGAGGTAGAGGAATGAGTTGATAAAGGGCATGAACATTAAAGGTCCCATGACATGCTGCTTTTTGGATGCTTTTATATAGGCCTAAGTGGTCCCTAGTACTGTATCTGAAGTCTCTTTCCCGAAATTCAGCCTTGGTGCAGAATTTCAGCCACTACGAGCCAGTCCCACAATGAGCTTTCCTTAGGACATGCCATTTCTGTGTCTGTAGCTTTAAATGCTAATGAGGAGGAGAGAGGCGGGGCAACTGCCATGCTTCGCTCGTTTGCAAGCTATGATGTCTCTCGAGGAAAAAAAAATATTGCGCTCGCCTGGTATGGTAGTAGCTCATTTTCTCATGAGCGGGCCAAATTCTCTGGGCGGGCAAAGCAGAGAAAGGGGAGGTAACCTTTCCCCGTATGACGACATAAAGGGAAGATTCCAGATTGGGCCATCTGAGCTTTCATTTTCTCAAAGGCAAAGCAGGATACCCAGGGCTCACCTCATAAAGTGAAATTTTCATGCCATGGGACCTTTAAGAGTGTAGCTCCTAAGAGTGTTTGGACTCGAGCCCACAGTTAATTTGTCACAGCAGAAGAGTGGTACTGAGTGAATTTGTCATGCACCTCATCTGTTTTAAATACTTCAGTGAAGTGTTAAGTAACTTTAAGCGAATACAGGTGATTTAAGAGGTTAATAGTCTATACTTTGGGCTTAGGGTTAAGGCTAGGGTTAGAAAGCCTACTTTGAGCCTAACTGGATTAAAACTGTTCACACAGCGAAAATGAATGGAAGAAATGTAGTGGCTGTAGTATATCGTCTGAGATGTTGAATGTTTATTTGGTTTAGAACACATATTAGCTACTAGACTGAAAACTATTGCTTTTTCTATAAATCGCATGGTGTCTAGAAGGTTCTGTGTTTGGTTTGAAACTTGATAAAATGTTATACCAGTGCTATTTGTGTTGTTTCCTTATTCAGGGTGCGAACTACGGGGGAGCTAGGGGGAGCTCGGCTCCCCTTAATAAGACATG